CCGCTCTTGAAAATTGTAGGGAGTTTCAGGGTTTCATCACTGGTCCAGGTGTGGCTTTGTCTTTGGATGACTCAGGCCAGCCAGCTGAATCCAAATGACCCTCAGCCTCAGACTTTTTTTTTTCTTCTCTGAAACCTATGTCTGAGTCAAAGCTTATTGTGTCTGGTCAGTCCCCAGCTGAGACAGGGCTTCTTCCCGTCCCAGGGAGGGTTGCCAACACTCTGCATGGTTCCCAGCAAGTGGCTTCTGTGGTGCACAGCCTCACGGCTGCTCCCCTTGGCCACTGCAAGTCAAGGGAGACATGAACTGTGGCCTTGTGTGTAATATTCCCCTCTCTAATATTAGCTTTTGTTTTGGTTTTTTTTCTTCCTTTGCAGAACCCATCACAGCTTTCCCAGGTGAGAACTTCTACTTTCCAGGTAAAACTGCACTTCTCTTGGTGGTTTCTTTCTTCTGGCATGGGCTTTTATATTGAAAGTGATGTGCGTGCTTGTACGAACAGCAGATGTTCTGAGTAGCAAAATGGCAAGTGTGTGCTAAACCTCCCCCGCCGCAGCAGCAGGAGGTGGCACTTTGTGACTCCCGCTGGGTGACAGGGAGCAGGCAGATAGACAAGTCCCTCTGTCTTGGGGCTGAATAAGCATTAGGTATCCTTCTATCCTGAGGCATCTGGCATCGTGAAGAGCAGCTAAGCCCAAAATGGGAATGCTGAGGAGTAAAGGGTAGTTATCAACTGACTTCAGTGCAAAACCAGTAGCCAGTTAAAAGTGACTCGTTGCCACTATGGCGAAAGGTTGTTCTCTGTTTTAGAGATGCTCTGGCAGTGGTTGTGTTCGAGCTGCTGGTGAAGGAGGCTGGGGCCGATCTGCTTGGCAGGGGAGTGAAGTTGGGAGGTAGAAGCAGGAGAGCAAGCTGCCATGAGGAGCTCTGAAGGTGACAGTCAATAAAAGGAAAACAAGGTGAAATGGTGCATTTAATAGCTTAATACTAGCTTGCAGGATAGAAACCTGCATTTCTCTGATCAAACCTGCAGAGTAAAAGAAAAGGTGAGGAACTCAGAAAAACTGCCTCACTCTTTGAGCAGTCAGTGGAGATGCTGTTTGTGTTGCTCTGGGGTGGAAAAAGCTGTCTCCTTTTGTGGGGAAGATCAGTTTATTCTGCATAAGGTTTTTTTACCATGGTTTGGTTGTCGATTTTGTTTTCCTTCCTGCCTCTTCCAGAATGCATCTGAGGGTTGTGTTGTGATGAAGAGCAAACTTGGGGCTCCCCTTAATTTCAAAAGTTGTTTTGTCAGTTCAGTCCATGCACTTTTTGCTTTCACTTAGACGTGATGTCCGTACTCTTCCCATCCACTACTCTGCTGGTGGGCTGTAGGATATGACTGGGCTCTACTCTAGAAGCAGCTGCATTTCTGTGCAGGGCAAAGCTGTCTCTGGTGGGTGCATGTGTTGGGAGCTGCGGCAGTAAAGAAAAAGTAGATGCCGAGACGGAAGTCACACGTGCGACTCTGTCCCTGGGCTGTGATGCAGCCTGTGGAGCTGCATCTTACCCATACTCTACTAACTAGGAATTTGGGTTTGCTTGTTTGTAAGCTGCTTATTTATCTGCTACTCGAGCTTGTGGTGTTACTGAAAAGGTACTGCAATATTTCCAGCTGTCAGTTAAAGCCTCAGGGTCTTTCCTTACTTACATAATCGCTCTGTGTTCTCTTGGGCCTGGTCTGGTTTTGCAGACACCGTCCTTGTCTTTTGGGGCTTGTAAGATGCATGTCATCGTCAGTTTGAACCTCCCTCTGGGTCCTCACGTTGAGTCTATCCAAAGTCCTGCTAACTCATGTTGTTTCTCTTCCTCTTCACCCCGTGCCCTGCTGCCTGTGTGACTCCATTTCCCCACCGTATTCCCCAGGGCACGCTGGCTGGGCAGGGACAGTGTTTGCTGTGCCCAGCACAGTGAGGTCCCTGGGCACCACAGGCAGATAGCTGTTGCAGGCACTTCTCCCCTTCACACAGGAGCTCTCAAGCTTGTGCCAGCAGGCTCCTGCCCATTGCTAGCTCCCTCGAGGTCATCCAAGCTCTGGTCACAACAGAGGAGCAACTGCAGCAAAAGGTTGAAAATGTTTCCCTGGCTGATGGGTAGGAATAGATGAGAGGGCGGGCTGGGGTGACCAGAGAAAGAGCAAACTGCAGAGGGAAGATATGAAGAAGTGAAGACAAAGACTTGAGACCACAAGATAGTAATTAAAATGAGGGACAGCCAGAGATGCCCAACAGAAGGAGAAAGTAGATGAGGAAGAGGTCCCTAGCTGGAGTGAAAAAGGGAGTTGGAAAGACTGTGCAGGAAGTATTGAGAGGTTCTGTAGCCCCTACTCCTGCAGTTACATGATGAGCTGAAAAAGTCAGATGCCATTAAAAATAATGGCAAATCTTTCCTGTACTGGCTTGAGAGCAAAGCTGAAAATATGCACCTTCCAGGCTCCAGGATCGCAAGGCAAATAATAAGAAGAGAGCTGTGTGGGTGGAATATCTTTCAGCTAGTGGGTCGGGATCTTACAAGACCAGTCAAGTGTGCTTAAACTGTGCTGTATTTGAGAGCTGATGTATCTCACCCTTAAAGAAAAGATATAACAAGTGGCTGGAAGCAAGGAGTTAGACAAATGCCGGGTTAAAAATAAAAGACATGTTCCAAAGAGCATGAAGACAAAACATAGGGAGAATTTGCCTTTGGGACTGGTGGATTCTCCCACAGCAGGTATCCTGAAATCAAGACAGGGAAATGACAGGTAGCAATTAAGGGGTTGAGGCTGACACTGGTTTTGTGGCATTCAAATTAGATTAGTGTAATACTAGCTTTCATCTGTGCCATCTATGAAAAATCCAGCTGTGTTGCTTGTCCGCAGTAGTTAATGTCAGTGATTTTGAAGGGGAATACAAGCTGTGACATGGCAGTGGCAGAGCAAGGCAGGCAGCCTCTAGAAGGCTTTCTGGAGAGGGTTTTCTCCTTTTTTTCCCCAGATGACTTTTGCTCTGGCTTCTCTTGGGTTTTTATTTCTGCAGCACAGCTCTAGAACTGGTCTCTGTAGAGCCTTCCCTTTTGGGAAGAGGAGGGGGCTCTACCTGACCAGGTTGGAGCTGTGATTGCAGCAGCACACCCACATGAAATTGCCCACCCTATAAGGATTAAATCAGGTTTCCACTGACTGGTGTCCCAAGCCGTGCACAAACACGGCACCCTCAAACTTGACATCAACAGCAGAAGGCATTTCCTTATTAAGACAAGAGCCCTAGTGAATAAATGAGGAAGGGCAAGTGTGTGTGCGTGTGTGGCGGAAGGCAAAGGGGAGTGGAAAAATTATTAAGTTAAGAAGATGGATTTTTTTTTTCCATCTCTCTGAGCAGAGAACTTTTCCACTCATATAAGAGAAAACTTCCAGAGAGCAGCAGAGCCAGTAAAAACAAAGCAGATAACATCAGCGCTGTGTGCTGAGTGGATGGGCAGCTATATTTAGTGGCTGACAGTGTAAGGAAGAACAATCATTAGTGTTGGGAATTGGCTTCGTTAGGACTTAGAGACAACTAAGTGTGATTCCTTAATGACTTCAGTTGCTAAATGAACTCTCCAGACTTCTGCTATCTCCTCAGCAGGGCCGCAAGGTGCGGAAACGTGTGCCGAGGAGGGGTTCTGCACCACCCTCATGTTTGCAGCCCTGGCTGCTGCACGGGGACATCTGGAGCAGGTCAGAGCCAAGCTGATCCCTCAGGGATCCTTCCCACAAGCAGGATCACCCGAGATGCATCCCTCCATCCACAGGCAGAGAGCAGAGGTGCACGGGGAAAGGCCAAGGGCTGCGGGCTGGGCACCACGGCACATGCTCCTCTATGGCCAGACCCACCCTTTGCACTTCAGCCCTGCACCAGGCAACGTACAGCCATCGGGCAAGCATGGAAACCTTCCTCCCCTCTGTTTCTCAGAGGAGAGCAGTGCTTTAGCACAGGCTCGAGAGCTTCTCTGACATCTGCCCCCCTCTCCCCACCCCACTTTCTGCCAGCAGGGCCCAGTGCATGTAGGTGGTGTGTGAGGCTGTTCTCCTGTAAATCTCTCGCTGGAGCAAGGTGCTATGTAAGCAGAGAATGTCATCAAGAGTAAACACGAGTGGCCTCTGCACAGCGAGCAGCCCCGTGATCTTCCAGGGGTCAGCCCCGTGCCCTGGTGCTGTCAGGCGCAGGCGAGGTGTTGCTGATCCATCAGGGATGGTGGTGGCCACGTACAGGTCTGGGGTGGCTTGGCCAGCTGGATCTGCGGTGGGAGGCAGCAGCGTGTTGTCAGTGAATCTCAAGGCAGTGTTGAACATGCTCACCCTATAATGGAGTGTCCCACACTGTCACCTCCTGTGCAGCAGGGTGAAGGACGGCAGCTGCTCAGGGCAGGGTGCTGTGCCTACTCCCTGCCTTTGCCACCCCCAACACACAGCCCAGCCTGTAACCCCCCCCTTCACCAGGTGCAGTCAAGGGGCAGGAGGGGCAGGGCCACCCCATTCCTGGTGACAAGGGACAGCTAGGGTGAGGTGGGGCGACAGCAGCATATCTGGCAGGTAGCCGTATCCTGAGACACGGGAATTTCTTGCCTTCTGTCACAAATATATGGGTGGCTTCCAGCCTCCTACTCTTTAAAAGCAGGATTTGTCTTGCCTGTGTGGGGTTTTTCCATGGTTTTGAGAGGGTCTTTTTCGTTGTACTTATGCATCTCAGTACAGGCTTCATTCTTACTTTTACTCCCTGTGCCTGGGTTTTGGGGGATGGAAAGGAGAGGAAAGCCTTGTGACTGGTGAAGGAACCATAATTTTGCCTCATTTCCTGTGCTGTCAGCAGTAGAAAAGTGGTCACCATCCCAAATTTGCCAGCCAGTAGCTCTGATAGTAGGGCAGTGTTTGGAGGGGAGGGCAGAGACCATGCTGTGAGATGCCCTTGTTGCATCTCACCTCGTTGCATCTCACCTTGTTGCTGTGCTGACACCAGACCTCAAGAGCTTCCAAAATCATGCTGGCTGGCACCTAGCCAGGGGGCTGCCTCCCTGCCAGTGGGCTTGGGGGCGAGAGCAGAGGGCGAGCAGAGCTGGAGTGTCAGTGTGTCTAGCGGCGGAACAAACCCTTTAGAGAGTTTCCCCCTTGAAGTAGCCAGTAAATAAATACGGTGCCAAAGTGCATCTCTCCCGAGTTATTTACAGCTCTCCCTCATGAGCGGAGCAGGAGGATGGGAGCAGCGTGTGCCAGAGGAAGAGCACAGAGCGGGGTTTGGGGCCCTGGGTGTGAGCGCCGGCGCCAGTGCGCAGGTAGCCGTCCGTGCCTGCCTGAGGTGCCTGCCTGAGGTGCGTGTGCGTTCTCGCTTCTGCGGGCTGTCCCACT